ATTAGGTTTTCTGATGTTCCTGAGGGGGACCACAGCTTTCATTTTTTAAGAATACCGTAAAAATGCAATATCTCGGCTCCAATAAGGTAGCGGCACGAACTTTTTTCAGGGTGTTCATAGATCACTAGGACCTACATGATGCTCATACTCTCGACTCAAAAGCGATGTGACACTTGGGAATGTTCCCTCGTGAGTTCGATGTTATGTCAATTGAAATGAAATGAAGAACAGGGAGAAATAATGATAAGTTTACATGCTATGTTTTCAATATGTTCAACAAGATTAAACATAAGAAAACGAAGTAAACCTAAATCAGCCTCTAAGAAAGAGAATTTAAAAAGAAAGAAAAGAAATCGCTTTATTACATGGTGGGGTAGCTGTTTTTAATATGTAATCTTATTATAATAAGAGATTAGCAATGAAACTTTTAAGAAATTTATTTTATATCGAAAGAAAAATGATTTTAAACAAAAGAAAAATAACCAAATATACAAGCAACAATATTTAAACAAGTAATTCATATTATCGTACAATGAGATTTTGACAGAATGCTCTATGAATTCTTTTACAATAATTGCCAACTTTATACATTCGAATGATACTAAACATCTTTTTTCTTTGATTTTTATTCTGTGCAAGTTTCTGTTTGTTCAGAACTCGATGATTTGATCCTTCCTAGGAAATAAAAATCAAACAATATTCATAAAATTAAAAACATACTTCTAAATATAACTTAAAATTTTTTTTCGAATGAATTCTCAGTAGATTTTAATGAAATTTCTGCACACCATCGAAGGTAATTATCTATCTCATTTGAATAACTGCGATGATTTTTTTGTATATTTCTTATTCTCTCTAATTCAGTCAAATTATCGAATAAAATCTTATTCATATATAACGTTTGGAGAATATTATTTCCTATGTCATTAAAATAGCGTTACTTTTGCCAATTTTTCAAGTACTATGAATAAATCATCGATTAATCACGATACTTAAAGAACAATGACACAGTAAGCATTAGTTTACAAAATAAATCATGTTCTTTTTTTGTTTAGATCAATAGCAGTGACGATTTCTTCATTATGAAAAGATCATGCGAATATAAAAAGTTTCCTATAGTGATTATTTTTATTGTAAATTCGATAGGACAGCATTCATGAAATCGCTGTTGTGATTTCGGATGTAGTTTTTTAAGCCCTTCTCTCTTCGAAAAATGTCCATTTTCGTCAGAATTACAGAAATTAACATAAATGCATGGAACAATAGTTCGAGGTTGGATCTTTCACAAAAAAATCACTTTTTCCAGGATAAAACGACAAATCTTTTTCATTATTTTCTCCTTTTATGTTTTTTTGATCGCACATTCCAGAATTCTCGAGCGTGTGAAGCTGCAATGCTCGTTTGTTTAAATTAAACTTTCTATTATTATTTTACAAAGTAACACACCCATGTATCAATAGATGACCATTTTTTGAGATTTTCAAAATATTGAACTTGTCATCCTTTTTCTCTGCCTAAAATGTGGAACTCACATGGGTTCTTTATCTTCACTATACTAGTACAAGATACGTTAATTGAAAAGTCTCTGTCAAACTATAGCTGAGCATCTTTTTCTGTTCTTCAGGAACTCTGAAGAAGAAGTATAATCCATGCTGTCCTCATTTGCTACGAGGGTATGGGAGAGCCGAAAAACCTCTAGTTCAAACTTACAGTCACTATTTCTCTTCGAAATCCACAATGTGAGTTCCACAAAAGTATAAAATCACCTGTTCTAAGAAAAAATCCGATTCTTTAGAAAAACACTCATAAAAAATAGGGTGTGGGTGTGGGAATCAGTCACAAGAAGACTCACCGACCCACACCCACACCCACCCAAAATCTCTGCTATGGTACTTAAAAAGGTTCTTCCTGTGAATACAAACTCGGAACCTTTTTTTGATTTTGTACCGAACCCCCAAAAGGTTCCGTACGACAAGCAGAAAACCTTTCAAAAGATCCATGCAATGAAGAAGATTTTGTGTTTTTTGTATGGAACCTTGTTGAGCTTAGTACGAAACCAAAAGAAAAGGCTCCTAGTTTGTATCCGTTAGAAGAACCTTTTAGGTTCTGTAGCAGAAATTGTTTTAGAGTGCAATGTCTGTCATCCGGGGGTTTTATGCAAATTTCAGCCCAATATACTTCAGCAGTGGTTTAAGATCATGTTTCACAAAACAGAATATAATTGGATTTATTTTATTTATTTTAGGATTAGACCAAGAGTTGCTTAAATCTAAGTCAATACAACAACAACGATTTTATCTAGCATCATTGTGTCTTGCTGGTGATTATTCTGATAGTATGCAATTGATTCAAATATTGACTACTTTAGGATCACATCTTCGTAAATTACGTGTTGATTTTCGTTGTCTTTTAAATCTTATTATTCATGTTGAAAATAATGATCGATTAAAACGTGTAATGTTGCATAGATATCTTGTTTATCTTGAACTCGACACGATCTATGAATCAGTAGTTGATTCAGGAGATTTTCGTCATGTTATTGCGTTTTTGTTTGACAACAGTACTAGTCTAAAACACGTAACACTTTTATCAATGTGGTATCTTAAGATATTTGAGTCAATTGAAGACATGCAATTATTAACAGAAATCTTATCTTCATTCAAACTTTGTACACAAATTATATCAATTGTGATCTATCATTGTATATTCTCAAATTAGTCGTGTAATGATAGCGAAACAATATCTATCGAAAATGATTTTCGTAAATGGCTCAATGACAATACTCATTTAAAATTTGAACAAAAGGATGGAGATGGATTTCCAAGCAAAATCAGCCCTATTTGAAAATAATAAGAAAACCCCATTAATTATATATAATTAGAAAGGTAATTCATTCCACTATTTATCTATACAATAGTTCTGACCAGGACATTGTTTTTTATACTGATTTCAACACACATATGGTAAGGGGTGTATGAGGCATATAAGGTATAGTGTGGAGAGTCACTTGAGGCTGAGGTATTGGACCAAAGCATCAACCAAACTTACTACTATTATAAATGTTAAATGTAAATATTCGACCTTTTTTTACTTTTCCTGGTTGCCAAAGTAAAACATGAATATCACCTACAGTTTTAAGATAAAAACAATTGCGGGCTGCTATGGCTGAATGATTAAGATGTTCGACACATATCCAGAAGATAGTGTGTTTGAACCTCGGCACCAGCAGACATAGAATGACCTTGGATAAGTTACTAACGGCTATTTGTCTTGGACCACCCATTCGATAGCACGCGGACTACATATGACATACATAAAAAAGTCCTTGTGACTAGTAAGTGGTTAGTCAGTATGCATGGAGAGCTTAAGTGATTAAGTGAACGGAACTCTGAGTCAAGCTGGTCTTCTGTCCAGAGCTGCAGCTAATAATAGTTGAAGGAAAAACATTGGACTTTCGAAATTGTCCTTGGACAGCTCTCTATACTGAAAGGTAGCCGAAAGGCAAGGGTATTCTTTTTCTTCTTCTAAAAACAATTGCATTTGATTGATATTGAATTCTTTAAACAATATCTCTCAATTAAAAACGCTTTTTTTTCACAAATTAAATTAAATTTAT